AATTCTCTAAGGCGAACTTTCTACAAAACAATAAATTGGACTTATTTGATGACAGTAGTCAGAAGTAATGATGTTTATGTCAAATTTAAATATAAATATATCCGAAAAAAGTCGATATATATTAGCTATATGTATCTGTTGTACACCCATCTCACAAAATACTTCCAAATGTCACGTTTTGTACATCTTATCTATTTTCATAAACATCTCATTTGAGATAAATCTATTCGAATATCTTTGTATCTGAACATTTCGTCAGGACTCTATGCACTTTATCCGCCGCTAGGGGGCGTGTCATACGGATAAGGAGGATAGAGATCTCTGTAATTGTCACTCAATTACACTTGTCTCCTTCGCACTTTTCACTCAGAATTTTGTTTGAAAACAATTGACGAAGGAATGCGAGAAAAAGTAAAAGTGAGGAAAACCTCTTGGCACCGATTTCTATCAATTGAACAATTGTCGACATCTCTTACACTTGATAATTTTTATTCAATTGCGAAGAAGAGAAAGAGGTGAAAATTAAGGCGCTCGTGCTGTCTCGCTCGCACCCGCACACACGCGTGCTGCAACACAACTCCAAGAACAAAAACAACAACAGCTGAGAGACCTTAAGTGTAGATTGGTGTGTGTGTGTGTTTGTGGCAGGCAGAGATATTTTTTCATTGCCAGAACAGAGCGGCAGCTAAAAGTCAAATAAAGGTCAGTGGCAGTGCTTCTCAGCGAGAGAGAGAGCATTCAAAATTGTTCACCATTGTTGGTATAGTTTGCTTTTTGGCCCCCCTCCTTTTTGTTATTGTTTTTTAAACATTTACTGCTCTTCTTCCTGTTGTTTTTTTTTAACCCGCTCAACGAGTTTTCAACTTTGATAATTTTGTTTTTGCTGCACTCGAAGGAGGGCGAAAGAGAGAGAGGTAGAAAGAAAGGTAGAGGGCGCCAGGAATTGGAATTTCTTTTCATTTTTTTTTGTATTTCCATGCGGCCGGCGCATTGATAAGGCTTAGCGCTTATCACCGCCTTTTTGTTTATGTTTCGCGTTTATCACTTTTCCAGCAGAGGTGCGATTTCCATGTTTCCAAGGCGTCCGCTTGGCGCCAATTGCAAAATGCAAAATAAAAGAAAACCGCTGATAACGAGGTTTGTTTGTATATATATACATATATATATATGTAGATGGGTGTGTGGGGAGTAATTCGAATTTTGGCACGCGCACAGCTGTAAATTATATATCCCCCGATCCGAACTCGGAAATAAATTCACTTAAATCACCTTAGAGCCACAGCAGTCGCTGTTGTTGGCCACACGGAAAAAACGAATAACTGAAAAAGAATTCGAAAACAAAAAGAAAACCCATGGGCGGCCGGGAGAGTTCTTGTTGTTGCCCTGCAGAGTGGGAGTTTGCGCAGAGAGAAATGCGGAGAGAGCGCGAGGAGAGGAGAGAGCGCCCAGGTGAACAGCGTGACCGTGTGAGGGGCGCTCGAAAAATACACACCTGGTTAAATTCAAATGTTACTTTGATAAGTAATTTTTATATATTGCTAGCAAACATTGATTGATGTTGGTTTTGTATAACAAATAATATTTAAACACAAGTTAATTTAGTTCATTTTCGAAGAACAGAAAGCAATGGATGCCATAAGATACTTTGAATAGTTATATATAAATAAGTTTTTGGTTTTAAAAAAAAAATTCAGTCAATTTAAAACTTTTTTATTTATATCGAATTTAGAAAATAATTTTCTCTAGTTTTAAGTTATTTTAGTTAATCATACATTATTTTTGAAATGTATTTTTCAAAAGCAGGCGGCAACGTAAGCCAGTAACGTAAGCATCATTGCCAACTATAGAAAAAATACCACAGAGCGACCAAGGGCGGGAATTTCGAATTGTAAGTGTACAAGTTTTCAAAAACATATATTACTCTTTAAAAAAAGAAAAATGTAAAATAGATTCTAGTAAATCCAACAAGAATTACAATTTGTTTTATTGACTAGTTGAAGTTAATAATTGTTTTATTTTGATACGATTAAACTGATTTGATATACTTAAAAACAGAATTATGTAGACAGACGCCAAAAAATATATGAATGTACCAACTTTCCGTTTATCGATATAATATATGTCTTGTCATATTTTATTGACTTCGTTAATATTGATTGTAACTAGCCCTGCCAAGTAATTGATAAATAAAATTCACTTTAAAGTTATTAGCTAAACTTAAAAAGTATTTTTTATTATTGCCTGATTGATTAAAATTTTCTTTCTAATTTTCTAAAGCTTAGTTTTACCTTGATCCCAATCAAGTGGTCTATATAAACCTTTAATTGCCCAGCGTCAGAGCTCACCTTGAATTTCACTCAGTTTTCCCATAAAGAGCCATACTTCACAGAAATTTGAACAGTTGGTCGTAACCTTGCTCTATAAACAATTTAATGTGCGCTCACTTAACCTCAATTAAAACTTGCAGATGGACACGCAATTTCCCTGTCGCCTTTCAATTCCCTTTCTTCCCATTGAAGGTTTCGTTTTTATGTTTATTAATTGAAAAGTGTGAAGAAAAGGCAATCATTTACCAATAGAAAGAGAGGGGAACAGGACGATAGAAGGAGAAGGGACGAAAATATCTAGGTCAATTGAGTGACCGCAAATATGTCAATATCATTTAAGAGTTTTTTTTTTCAATGCACGTTTTTCATATTAAAAATATGTTTTTAAAAAAGGATACAATCAATGTTTAGTTATTCTGTTGCCAGGTGGCGCTGCAGCATCAGATGACTTTATCAGCGGCCCACAAGGTCAAAGGACATTAATATTATTACAACCTCCCCTTCTGCCGTCTGCTTTGAATGCCTTTGAAGCTGTTTACTGTTTGCTCTTTGTGTCCTTGATAAACATCCATTGATAACAGACACAATGGCCCAAGGACAATATCAAGAGTGCCAGCTTTTATGTTTATGACGTATCCTGCTAGTTAAGTGTAAATCATTTTGGCTTGCATCTAGCTCACTTGTTTTAACCTCTCCTTTTGCCCTTCCCCTGCCCGATTTTAGTTAGTTTTTCCATTTCCTGCAGTGACAATTGTCACAAGGATGCACATTTACAGTTGCACTTTATAACTGCACACTACTGGCTTATCTGTGGACAGTGAAATAACGAAAATATTTGGGGGAATTGTTGGGTCAAGGTCAAATGCTGAATATCATGTTTTGGTCCTTTGCCAAAATAAATAAATGTGTGCGTTGAATTTTTAATTAAACTAGAGTTCTGGGAATTTTCTCAGTGACTATTAAAAACGATGGAATTATTTTGTAATTTGAGCAAAAAAGATATGAAAAAACTGTAATAATAATTATAGTCAACAACTATACTACCAAAGGGTATATATCTTAAGCGGGATTAGGGTCTACTGCTGATATAGCTCTATAAACAACTCTCTTTTAAAGTTTTAACTATTCTAGCTTACACTAGATAATAATAATAATTGTGTTATTTTATAAAGAAATACAAGTAACAGATTGTTCTTTAAGACCCAAAGAAAACAAAGCTCATCGCGCCCAAAAAAATATAATCATAATTCAGACTTATCTGCAACTATCATCCAAAAAGAGTGCTATGAAAGGGGAATACGAAAATAGACGGAAATAATCGAGGCCAGGCGCCTTGACCACGCCATTAGGAGCTTAATTAAAAACTTGGCCATAATTCATTTGCCACCATGGCCGGGCACGTGAACTCCAGATGGAGGCGATGGGTCGAAGCTCAACTTAACCGACTTAAGGTTAAGGGACGTCCGAGTCAAAATGTGACTAATTTATGTCATGACACCCCCGACTAAATCGACCCATTCCAAAGCTTGTGCTGTCGAAATATTGCAGGACAATAAAGATAACAACGAAAGAAGCTTCTACAGAGCGACGAGGCTGCTATGATTGCGATTATGCGGCACGGGCAGCCAAGACAGCTGGAAATTACTGATTAGCCATGTGTCCTCTAGACTGGAAGATACTCTCTGGAAATGTATCTATAAAATTGAAAACATAATGATCAGAATAAGAAAAAAAAATTTTAAGTTAAAGTCAACACAGCTATTATTAAAATATTGAAAGTGTTTTTAAAAAGAATATAATAATAAATATAAGTAGACACTGTAAAATAATATAAATAATTTTAAACATTTAAGTATTGATAGTCAGTATAAGAAAAAAATTTAATTTCTTAAGTTAAATTCAACCCAGATTTGGTAAATGAAACAACAGTAAAGCAAAAAGTATTATTGCAAAATATATTATAAGAAACATAAGTTCTGTAAAATATTATCACTAATATTACTCATACGACGAGTTGTCCAGATGTTGGCAAAATATAATAAAGTTAAAACGAAACGCAGAAGAGCAAATTGAAAGTTCTGAATTTATTTATTTAAAACTTAAAGGGTTTATTTCCATGTTAGGTGGAATTTAAAACTTATGCTTTATTGCAGCACCAAAAAATAGGAATGCATTAAAAGTTAAAGTTATAAATTAAAGTTAAGATAATAAAACATAAAGGTGCTCTTTAATTTTTATTTTAACCAATGCATCAATTCATTTTCTAAATGTCGGCATCATATCATTATACCTCGTAAAAAAGTGTTGCCTACTTGGCGGCGCATGCGTCATCACACGCCGAACATGCAACATGGTGAACGTGGCTGTCCCGGTGGGTGGTGAGGAGCTGAGGGCGGGGGCGGGCGGCTGCTGTGGGTGGTGCGCGCCGGAGGATGTGCGGCCACTGTTTGTATACAAAAAAGAGGCGCCACAGCAGCAGGAACAGGCAGCAAAAACAGAAGCCGCAGCAGCTGACGACGCGAATTCGAAATTCGAAAACTGTTATCAACAAATGCCGAGTATCTGTGTGAGTGCGTGGCTGTTGCTGTGTGAGTGTGTGTGTGTGTGTGTACTAAGGGCCTCTGTGTGGGTGACTGCCTGGCCATGGCAGATGAAACCCATCAGTTGGCGGCTGTTGCACGTTGCGTGCGGTTTCGTTGGGCTGCGAACTCCGAGCTGCGTGTCCTTTTTTGAGCCCCGAACACACGTCCTTCGTGTCCTCGGAAAATATTCAAAGTGCGTTCCGTTGTCGCTGCCGTTGTCAGTTGTTGGCTTTTTAATAACTCACCAGCGAGTGGCAACTAGTCGCAAATACTATGCCCCGACTATCGCCAGGACAAGTGGCAAACCTGTCATTTACTATTCGCCTCTGGCGAAAGTCGGTTGTCCTCGCGCATCACAACTGAGACATTCGAAATAGTGATCGGTTCAAAACTATACTGAAAGTTTATTCAAACTGTTTAAAGTGTAAGAATTGCACTTAACTATAAAACAAAATACTAGAAAGACGGAAAATAAATACTATTTGTCAAATAAACACAGAATAAATGCGGGCTTTGAATTGAAAATTAAATTTATTAAGTATAATGTTTGAAACAGAACTCTCACAGTATAATAAAAACAATCATCCAATGTACCTACGGCTTAATAAAAAAACGGGAAACAAACAAAATTTAAAAAAAAAATATAATAAAATAAATTAAGCCCACTAAACATTAAAAGCCAAGAAACAAAAAATATTATAGAAACTTAAAAACTTATATTCAAAACTGCTTCATTGTTATTTGTTTCCAACGTTCTTAACAACAAACTAGAATTTTGAATAATAATAAAATTAAAAAAATATATAATAAAAAAGTTTAATCCCGCTAAAAACTAAAAGCCAAAAAACATAAAATAATATAGAAACATAAAAACTTATATACAATGAAGCAGTTTTACTTCATTGTTCTTTATTTCCAACGTTCTAAACAACAATCTAGAATTTTGAAGTTACAATTTTTTAAACAAAGTGTTTTTTGAAATTACAAATTTTTTTTACAACTTTATTATGAACGATGAAAGAAAGAATAGCATTTATATATTCAAAGGCGAAATAACTTTCAAAGAAACAAGAATCGCACACAGTGTAAATATTTAAAGAGGAAAATAAATTTTCCAAATCCTGGGAAATAATAAATTATGCTAATAATTCCCCTAAGCAATTTACACAGTTTTAATTAATGTGTTCTATAAACGCTTTGCCGTGGTATTAAGCATACGCCCGGTGGACCAACTCAAACGTTGTTCCAACTTTTTCCCCGTTGCACCGCAGTAAAATCCTCTAAGGGGCGACATCAAAAACCACTTTATAATGCGATTTGCTGGAAAAACCAGTTAAATGGCGTAATTAATTCAAGAGAACATCGCTAGGCAGGAGCAAAGACAGTAGCAATGCTGAAGAGCTTACAGAAATAACCAAAATTTTAATGAAAATAGCTCAGCAGTAACTCAAAGGAGAAGGCTTTCGTATTCACTTCCTATAGGAAGCTTACTTTAACCAAAAATTTGAGAAAGTTTAAAAAATTTGTTTACTTTTATTTATAGAGTTTAAAGTGTTGTTGAAACTCAAACTAAGAATATACTTAAATAAATCATTTTTTTCGGTTTTTTTAATACATCAAAATAAATATTTTCTAATCAATGAAACTCAGGTTTTTAAATATTGAGAATCAAAAGAGTTTCTAACTTTCACTATAATAAATACTTTTTTCCTGTTTATTCGGTTGTTAGGGTATCATTACCTTCCATCTAGGCTAATTTGCTGTTTAAATTTGTTATGCATTGTTGAAGCCTCGAACTTCAAGGACCTACTGAAAAGTGTAGGAGAAATGCAAAAGAAAGGCGAAAGAAAGGCCTGGCAAGACTTTCCCTCAACTTATGCTGAGCACATCAATTTTTCAGGCAATTTAATTGAAGAGCTCTTAAGAAATTTCCCCCGTATTCAAGCAACGCAAACCGAATCACTTTATATGACGAGCCGAGATTCATTTATCCTGGCAATAATTTTGTTGTCACGCCTTCACATTAGATGATCTCCCGCCCCAAAAAATACGTTCAAAGCCCGCTAAAACCAAAAGGATATAAAAACACGCAACAAAAAATGAAATCAAATCAAATAAAACCGAATTATATGAGCAACGCGAACCCATAATACGAATTCCATGTTCATTTCCTGAATTCCGATTTTCCTTGTTTTTTGAGCAGGTTAAGCGGGCCGCAAATCCGCATAGCGTAATGAAAATCAAAGTACATAAATATAAAATTAAATGTCGTAAATAAAAAAAATAATACCATCAGGACGCATAAAATATGTATATGTGAATGTGTGTAACGAGGCGAATCGCGAGGCGACAAAGCGAAATTTAAGAAACGTGCCACATTAAATATTTAAGAAACTCGGAAAGTCGACAAAAGTATCAGGAGAAAAACACAGCGTTTGGTAAGCTAAAATTATACTGATTTATTTAGAATAGGAAATTACTTTTTATCAGATAGCTTTAATAAGTTCCCACACCTAAAACTTTATGAGGGTTTTATTAACAACAATCAATTAAAAAATTCTCAAGTAACCAAGGCAATTAAATATATTTTAATCAGCATAGTCACTTTTTCCTTCTTTTTCCCTCTTTAAAAGCCGAAAACCAGGCTAATTTAATTTTCCCAAGAGCACATTTTTTCCCCACATACCAAAAAATTATAGGCGCATCGTTAGCTAATCAATGAGCGGAACTCTGATTTATCAGCTCCCTATTGATTTATTTGAAATGACGCTGAAAGCATTCCACATCATTCTACCCACACCATAAACACTCTGTTTTTTTTTTGGGCAAGTTTAACGATTATACTTGTGCATTTAGAGGAGAGTCTGTGGGGCAGGAAGTCCCATAAAAACAAAGTCCTGGCCGTAAAACATAAGAGATGGTCAGACCAAAGTGCAAGCCACCAAAAAAGAAATCGCATATGTGGCATAAAAATACTTCTTCAACGGCATTTCATAAATAGTTTTATGTGGGGCATCAAAAATACATAAAATAGGGGAATGAATAAAAGGCCAAGTAAAGTATGCTTTAAAAGGGAAATCATCCAAGGATTTGGCATGGGGGAATTGTATTTTGGTTTAGCCCAGCAAAATTCTATGCAAATGAGTTTCGGGGTGAGAAAAGTCTTTTCAATTTTTATTGTTTTTGTTCTTGGTTTTTTGTTTTTTTTTTGCCAAGGGTTGCCCCACTGAAGGCGCGTTGAAGCGTAGGAATTTGCCAAAAGCCACAGCAAACAAAACAAAAGGGAAAGGGCAGCAAAACTGAAAAGGGGAAAATGAAAACAAATAGAAATTGCCGTGAAAGTTTTATACGATTTCGAAGAAGGCGTGACACAGGACCAAAGGGTTTCCCAGCGGCATAGAAAATCTCCTGATGAATGGTTTGTCAGTTGGGGGGCTTCCGAATATGGGTTCAAACACATATCCACAAAGAAATATGTATTTTGTTGACTGTCTTAAGGGCGGAAATGCAGTCAAAACCCTTTGAATTATGGGCGAAAACTTGTGCTTAGAAAACCATAACATTATTGTCCCTTCAGATGAAAATCATAAAATTACGCATTTGTCAAATGAATGGGTTTTAGATTTGAATTTTCTACATATGAAGGAAATATTAACATAACAAATATTTTTTACTTAATATTACTAATATTAGGGGTTTTATTATGGAGTATTAAGGGACACGTGCTACATTATCCCTAAATATAGCCACAAACTTTTATCGACTGTCAATAATTGATGGCAATCGCTATCATAAGCTTATCAGTAGCAAGTGCGATTAGCCTAATCAAGCTGGGGGAAATAAACAAATCGTCAAGTGGCAAGCAAACACAGGAAATATAATAAATATAAAAAGAGTGGTTAGTAATTAAAGCGCTTTTATACGGGAGGAATTGGAAATTCATATCATGGGGGTCATGCTTGCCAGTGCAATAATCAAGCTTTGCTCTTATCAAACATGTTGGGGAGTCTAAAAATAAACAAAATGTATTTTGGGTATCAAAGGGAGTTCTATGTGTACTCCTGAAAGGCTCTCCTTGTGGGTTGTCAAGTTAATAAACGTAAAATGAGCTTGTCGCATCAACAATACTCATAACAATGAAATGCCCTTACTTTGGCACGTGAGTGGTTGGTTTTAGGATTTTTTTAGGTTATGTCAGCACGCCAATATGGTTAGGAATCCGTGATTACTTATAAGGTTTTCAGTGATTTGAGGAACGATTTTCCCTAGAATTTAATATATCAATATTATTAGGACTAGAACCATTTTACATTTTAAATATTTATCATATAGTGTAACTTACAATACTATTTCTAGAAAACTTTTATAAATATAATCATGAAGTCTATAATTTTGCCTGACTTTTAAATGTTACTTCAAGCTCCTATTTCTCTCATTAGATTTTCTTTACATTTTAAAGTGTATAAACCACTTCGACTTACCACGAACACATTCCATTTGCCTGATTTTTGTTGCTTGGGTGTTGATTATAATGATAAGCACTTTAACCACAGGCATGCAAATTGCCAGAAGGCAGAAACGTTAAAATTTAACAGCTTTGGCCTCTACATACACACATTTTGGGTTGCCTGAATGTGAGCAGGGAAAAGAGTCCTTAGGAAAATTCAATTTTGACACCCCTACCATTGCTATTTTCATCTTTATTGGAACTTTTCTAGTTCAGCACATTTGACACTTGAGATGGCCCCTTTCCCATCGCCCTCTCTCTTTCCGATTGTCTCTACCCGTCCTTCTCAGTTTTCTCATGAGAAGTTGTTACGTGTGTGCTCGATGAACTGTTAAACTGCTGACATGGCCACTCAATCTCACCTTGCAGCAACAGGTAACAGGAACTCGGCTTATTGAAATGTTCTCGACACTTTTTGATTGACAGCATCAGAATGAAAACAATTTGTTATTGAAAAATGCTCTAGGCTATTTTGTCGGGGGTGAAAAAAAGTTCAGGAAATTAAAGTGTATTCCATAATTCATTCCATTTTTTGTAAGGCCAATCGTGTTAGCCTGGAGAGTGACAGATTTGAAATTGAATTTTTCATATCAAAAGCAAAGTTATTTGAAAGTAAATATTAAGCAGCGGTCGGCAGCTTTGCTTAGCCTCTGCCGGCACACATACAGAGTAACAGCAGTCTCACGGAATTAGGCACTCAACTAAAGACAAAATGTGATTTTATTCCATGATTCAATTTAAGATATGTTAAACAATAATTAGAAAATTGTAATATTTATTTAAAACATTTTTCTAGGTCAAATTAAAATTTATTTGCAGAAGCCATCAATTTTTAATGACCTTCACTGTTCATTGACCCATTCAATTCTGTAATTATTCAAATATTTCACCGTTCACTGCATAAATCATGGGTCGCACGTGTCGATAATGTTCGCCGAAAATTGCAAAAACACAAATGGAATCTGCGAGAAAAGTTGGCCAAAACTTTTCCCCTTGCCCCATTCCATTCTGCCAAATTTATTCCCCTAAGCTATGTCTAATAATCTGCTCGGGCTAAAAAAGATGGCCTGCAGTAGGCCTTGGCCAATAATTCATTCTTGATTTCGGCTTTAGGCCAGTTTGGTGTTAAAGTTTTGCTCGGTTTTTCCCATTTTTCCCTTTTGGTTTCTGTGGTCCGCAGATGTCATCCACCGACGCCCAGCTGGACTGCAGCATATCTCATTCTAATTTGCATTTTTATGCCTGTAAGTGATATTTCTTTTCGCACTCCCACAAACACTCTCGTTCTGTCTCTTTCTGTGGCCACTATCTCTGTCTCTTTCCCAGCCAGTTGGCAGCCAAGTGGAATACTGAATTTTTATGCCCCGTCACATGAGTAAGTGAGTACTGGGTGGCTTGTGGCTGAAATCGTGCCAAAAACAGGCCGGCCTCTAGAGGAAGTTTCCTCTGTTCGGTGTGATAAAGTCTGAATTATTAAATATACATAAATCAGGGACAAGAGGAATGAATGCTAGTGGTTTGAGGAAGTTTAAGTATCTACAGGTTATACCAGCTTAAGAACTTTTTAAAGTATTATAATTTTTATTATATTTACCGAATTATTATAATTACTTTAGTTAAGACCACAAGTTTAAAATGGAAAACATTTTAAAAGTATTTTTTGTTACTATATATAATTATCCTAGCCTTTTATCATTTTATAAAATATGTTTATATTGGAATATTTTATACTGTTTGTTATGAAAGTCTATGCGAGTTTATTATTATGTTATAATGTTATAAAATATGTCTATCTGCAGCATTTTTTATCTTAATCACCCAGACTCAACTGTGGCATTAAACATTAACGCCAGACCTGACAGGGCCATAAAGCTTTTCAAACTGCTCTGCAGGGCATAACCTTGTCTAAATCGATGCTATATATCACTGGCATATATGCTGTTTATGGCACTTGTTGTTGTGGCAAGATTTGCATAATCAGCTTCCGACTAATTAAAAGGCAATCAAGCAGAGATAACTTGGGGAGAGGAACGAGTGGCAGGTTACCGAGGCAACAATCGTAAGCGGATAAAGTAAAACGCTCAACAAGCTGCCAAAATACACGCATTTTCACCTGGTTCCCCATCACCATTTCCATCCTTTTCCTGTGTGTTCCTCTGTTTTCCCCACTTTTCCCCATCTGCACCTGTTACCCAGAAAGATGGACGAACTGGCAGGAAAAGTGGCAAAGTCGAGGCCCGTATCCTGACCCAATCAGTGCGGCAGAAAATGAAATTTTCCCCGCTCTAATGGAAAACGGAAATGAAGTCCGTGAATATGCAACTTGTTGGCTTAGGTGGGTGTACGAGTTTGCCAAGCTTGATATTGGATTCAGACTACAGTGGCTTAGAAAGTTGATGAAAAGTAAAGCCAATCTAGGTACGGATTGAATATAGATCTCTGCAGCATGACCAGGAAAGTTTGTTCTATGATTGCTTTTGGATAATGGGTAAAGTTGGAGTAGGTAGAAAAAAAATAATGCAAAAACTTAATATAAACTAAAAGAGTACAAATCTGATGTATATCTGATAACTTTAATTGAGTTTGTAGTTTGTTTAGATAATCTATTTATCATTCAAGTCGCGAAAAATAAAACAAACTTGGAAACGTCATTCTGGCCTTAAGCTAATACAAAATTAAACAGTATAAATAAATATCTGCATAATGACACTAATTTTACTTTTTACATTTAAAATTTCCAAATGTAAAATTACTCAAAAACGCTGTATATGTAAATGAAAAGTTAAATATTATTTATATAAAATAATATACAACTAATTAGTTCGTTTTTTATCAGAGTCTTATTACAGTCTTATTATTTTTCGCAGAATTTTTATAGTACCTAATTGAGATTTTAATTTTATTACCCGTTCTACAAACAATACATTAAGC